GAAGAGTAATTGGTGGACTGGATTTACTTATTGTAGAGTAGAACGAAAGTTATCATGTGCATTGTAATGTTCAAAGCGGATATCATTACAAATGTCAGTAGGTCGGGAAGGTTTTAAAATGAGTGGTTCACGCTGTTGAAATACAAACAGAAGGCAGAAGACAACGAGCGGGGCTTCATAAGGTCTATAGCCTCTGTTTAGCTTTTTGCTTCTGGTGATTGTATTTAGGCTTTAAAATCTTTTAAATAAAAATCACTATTTAAAACAGCAGATGACACTGTAACTGCAGTGCACTTATCCACCTTATTTTGCAATGAAGTAAGCTGTTCTATGTGAATGTGAGACTTAAGATTCATTAACTTTTATACGTAAATAACTGTAGTGCAGTAGATTGTAAAATTATTTGCGCTACAAACCAGTGTGTTTGATTATGATGATAAATTAAAACAAAAAGACAACAAATGCCAGTTCGCAATACAAAGCAGTCTAATAGACTGTTTTTTGTAAAGGCAAAAGAACTTGAAGCAGATGACACCAAAAGCCTTGCACATTCAGTTTACAAAATGTGTAGGCCACACTTACGTTAAGAATAAGGTGGATAATAAGAACAGAACATTATCGTCCACTGGTGTTGGTGCTAATATAGATACTTTTATAATTATACTGCTTAGTGAGAATGGCCCTTTATGAGCTTGGCATCTTTGATACTTACTTTCATCACTGTCACTATGGTTACAGAAACTATTCACAGATATCTTAAGAACAGAAATGGTGCTTGACTTCAGTTATTCATTCATTCAGAGAGTATTTGAGTTGCTTTGGCAAGCTGTTGAATGAATGGGACAATTCGAGGGTCACATCTATGAGTCAATCCCAAACACTGACTGTGTGAATGTAGTCAGAAAGCCGAACAGACGTGATACAGAGGAATCAACTTCTGCTACCTCTTCATCATTAAATCTCTTGAAATCTGAGTGAACATCAAGGATGGATTACGACTGAGGCCAATGGGGCTAATGCGCTGGGACCTCTGACCACAGATGCCTGACAACTGTTAACAAGGAATTGCAGAGCTGTACAACTGATACTGACAGAGAAATATTGCTCAAAGGGGTCATAGGATGCTACATGCACTTTTACAAGTTGCTTGAACTTAAATGTGTGTTGGCAGTGTGTGTACACAACCACCCTATAATGATAAAAATCGACCTAGTGTTTTTTTTTTTTTTAAATCTCGTTAAATGTTTTCCCCTTTCTCAAATCCAGCCAATCTCAGATGCCTGACTGTGTGACATCACACCGACAGGCCCCTCCCACGACAGTTTGATTGACAGTAGCGTTTCAGCACAGACTGGACTGGTGTCTTACCTTAGACCCGCCCTGAGTGAGCTGTCATCAGTCCGCCATTGTTTCACCGCCGGAGCAGATGTAGACAAGAATGACTCATAAGCGATTGAGGTGTTCTGTTGTTGGATGTAATAATGAACATAGCAGTCCTCATTTACTCCTGACATCTGAGCCGCTGAAGACGCAGTGGATTATTTGTTGGATTAAGGAATGCTTCCCCGATCTGCCTAAAGGCGTCTATGTTCGCACGAATCATTCATGATCCAGCCTCATCTACAGAAGAAGTGAGTATAATGTTTTGTAATGAATCTTTGCAAATCGCCTTTCCTAATAATGTGCTAATTAGCAAGTTTCACGATGAATGTGGCTAAAGTAAACAGTCTCTCTGAGAGCAGCTCGGAAGAGAGGGGCGGGGTCAGCAGAGCTCATTAACATTTAAAGGAAAATGCTAAAAAAAAACGTCTTGATCTGAAAAGAGCAGTTTTTGACAGGGTAAAAAAGGTGTTTTTTTACACTACCATTGAGAAATTTTAACCAAACTATGCTACAGACTTTTCATTAAGACCCTAAAGAATAATATCAACTTGTGGAAAATGGGCATCATATGACCCCTTTAAATGTGTGGCAGTAAACTAATAAAATACAATAAATAATTAATTAGGAATTTAAGATGAATATAAATAGTACAGTTACATAACATAATGAATAATAATAATAAAAAAAAAAAAGCTTAGTTGCTATCTCTGAATTAACCTGACCTGTACTATTTGCTGCTATTAACTAAATTCCATTTCTGTGACACGAGCAGATGAGAAGTAGAAGAATTGGGATGGGTCAGCTGACATGTGCTGCTCGGACAATTGCCTTTTATTAAAAAATGCGAATGTAACAATCCCTTAAAACCATCGTGAACAAAGAAGTGGAGTATGTGTATGTAAATTGTGTGCATCAAACGTTGCTTGTTGCCTTTTCAGGCTCTGCCAATGTAAAATTCAATTTTTATAAACCAATTTTAAAGTTGCATTTGCTAAGTAAAGCTACAATCATTAGAAGGGTTCTGATATTGAGTTAAATTGCAAATGCAATGAAAATGAGATTACAAGAACCAACTGTGAAATATAAAGCCAATTAAAAGTTAAGCCAATTAAAGACTCTGAATGCCTGTCAATGTTTTAACTGTCCATCAGCTGGAAAATTATTGTTCCGCTGTGTTGGTATATCTATAGCTGTGGTGTGGACTTTGATATACTCGTAGAATTAGAACACTTGTTAAGTTATCATCCTTGGCCTTCAAGGTCTTAAACTTACTCCCCTTTAAAACAAGCATGTTTTGTATGTTCATTTTTTTCAAGCACTGCATATTTTTGGGCCATTGGACAATTGTGAACATGAGTGATGGTGAACAGACTTAGAAAAGGAAGGGCATGAACATATTAAACTGTGTCCACTAAATTATCCCAAAATCTCTCCAAAAAATGGTTGGTGTGCAGCCTATAATGAGAGAAGGAGAGAATGGAGGGAAGATAAACGGCCGACAATAGATAATTACAGTGCCGCCTTGCTCTCGTTCATGCAGCAACTTGTGCATTCATTTGGCATTATGAGATTGAAAAAAAAGAAGACTATTAACATAATGGATCAGAGTCACAGGGAAGGAATACAGCTAGAAGGAAAGAAAGAGGGGAAAAGAATACAGTGGAATAAAGAGGGAGTGGAAAGAAGGACAGAAGTAAAATAAAATGAAAACTATATATTTTCTGACATTCATCTTCCTAATATCATTTGTTCCCAGAATCAAGTATGTGAGTCTTTTTTATCACATTGTGCCTACAAACCAGCTGCTTTCATATTGTTACAAGGTTCTTATTATTTGTGTTCAATAGCATGCTTCAGCTTTATAAAGTGAGTTTTAATAATGAAGTTTGGCTGTCTAGTGGAGCATGAATTATTGTAAATGATGACATTCTGCAAGATAAATAACATTTACACTTTGAACGAATCTCTTAAAGCTTTCCAGGTAAAAAGATTCATACTGAATCCATCAACTTTGTCGATGCACTAATGCATAAATTCATGCAGATTGGGATTTCAGTAAATTTTCTGGTCCATTTCACTCATATTACCGAGACAAAATAATACCCAAAACCTTTTTTTTTCAAAGTTATAGGCTTTATTTAACTGCCAAAATGTCAAGCATGTTTCTACATAAATAACAACCACGAGAATCAACGTACATGGCTACATGGAGCTGATGAAATCTCTGGATGTGACAATGTCTCTGGATCACAATGTACTTGGTCATTTGTGGAACAAAGACAGTGCAGCTCTTTTGTCTTAAAAATAAACAAGGGGAAACGAATCAACCTGAACCGTTTGAAGATGACTTACGGTTAGCTATTTTGTTGTACGCGAGCGTAGAACAACCTGCTATTTACAGAACGCAAGTAAAAGTCACTAAAAAACAAAACAGTCAGGGAGTAAGGAAAATACAGTCGATAAAAAGCCGTATTGTATGCATTTTAACAAAATATACAAAATCTAAAACTAAAACAAGAAAACATAAATGTAAGTAATTTGGGGGGAAAAGCTCAATTCATGCAGCCCATTGGCTGGCGTGTCAGTGAAAATGCATAGACTCTGTCCATCGAGGAAATAATTCAACATCGTGAGCACACACTTGTGCTTCCTACAGACACAGAAAGATTCCTTTGTTCGTGCTCTTGTAGCATTGTGACTCTGAAACTCTTAAATAAATGTTCCCCAGCTATATAACCCTCACAATGCATAAATTATGTCTAACATCACACCACGCAACGCACCAGTTACTGAAAGCAGACTCTTATGGCAGTGGCTTTGACTGCGGAGTCAACTAAAACTTGATTCTTTATGTGCCCTTGAAACTCTGTAACCTCTCTTACTAAGATTATACATTCTATTGTATAACAGACTCGTTCTCAGATGTTCACTGATCTAACCAGTGCTGGTTTTCATGTAGGATTTAATTGGAGGTTCAACACAAAGACACACAATTCTCTGTGTCATCATTCTTACACCCGAACATTTCATGACGATTTACAGTTGTCAAACACATCATTACCTATATCTCAATATCTCAATATAGGTGACAGTTTCTCAGGACGATACTGTTTTAATAAGCTAGAAATGACTCGGAGTCTGTGGGAGTTATAAACAGGTGAATTTTAAGTGTAGCTCTCGTTTTTACTTTGCGTCTGGAAAAGCTGGGGAGGGTTTAATCCACAGGCTCGGGGGGAATAATTATCTTTACTTTCTTTTTTTTTAGTGAGTATTCCTTCAAGGCACTGGAAATAATGGGCCGAATGTGTTTTGTATGTGTGTTTTAAGTGTTAAAGGGAGATGAGAAAATATCATTCCTAAAACATGGGTCCGGATCAGTTGAATCGATTCAATCAATCAGTTAAACAATTCTCACCTTCAAACAAAGTGATTCTTACTGACTTTCTTAATAAAAGATACCAATTCTAGTTTGACGCCACCTAAATATTTTTGGAGAAACTACTTATTAGCTATTTGACTCAAAAACCTGGCTAGCTTATCAAAAACAAGCATTTCTCAAGTTCTCTTTTCCAATGCAAGTTTTTGAACAGTTGAACAATTTTTTGAACAGTTTTGAACAATTTTGGTTTTTGTTCCAAACTTTGAGACTTATTTTATTCTCAATAAATTAAATGGAAACCAAATTCAGTGCAACCTGTTTGTTTGTTTCCCTCTCAAGCCCCTATAAAATGGCTTACGGCTCTCCCACCCACACCACAGTATTTCCCAAGGGAACGTCGGTGATCTCGCAGTTGAGTTTATCCAGCCGCCCATCCAGAATAAACAGGGAGCTTTGAGACGGGGTCATGAGATACTGTCCGAACAGCCCGCTGCCAGTCATGACCCTGTTTTGGTGATTCCAAGGCCACTGAGCAGCCGGCGTAGGCTGCTTTAGGCTCTTGATCATTTTGACGTTACCGGTGCTGAGCTCCACAAAAAGAGCATCCGTCTGGCGGCCCGAGCTGCCGAACACGTTATACTGGTTAGCCTCAGTGAAAGAGGGCATGAAGGCCAGATCGGACAGGTGCAGGTTGGTGTGAATGTCAAAGGGTTGGCCGATCTCACCCCGCACGGACACATGCTGCAAGCGCATTAGCCCGTCACGGTCATCCACGCTCACTAAATAGTGGCCATCAGGAGAGACATAAGGTGTGCCGCTCACATCCCTATTTGGACCGATGACATTGTCTGTTACAGTATCGATGATTAATTGTGGCCGTACCGCACCTGTTGAGTCTGGCCGACAATTGACAAAGTAGTATCCGCCCAGGTGCATGTAGGAGAGGGATTGTGGGATGCAATCGTACTGCTGCAGACTAATGTTTTTCACATAGGAGGTGGTTTCCAAATCGATCTTATGAAGAGCTGGTTCATTCTTGTGGAGGATGATACCAAACCTATTAAAGAAAAAATATGTGTTAGATGATATCAGACAATATTGTTTTTGTCATGCAAAACATTCATTCGACACAACTATTTTATGTTTCTTTGTCAGAACAAGCTCAGTAGTTTTGTGGCATTCAGAATTAAATTATGCTTTTTAAATAATGCCTTTTACAATCCAATTAAATCCTTTTGAACTGAGGAAGTAAAAGGGATGTCGAATTGCAATTTTAATTTAAAAGTAAGCATTCATATAATTGCTGTGTATGCAAGCAACACAATTTTTTTTACATTTTCATAAAATCGCTATAATTAGTCAAACTAAAGATGAAATCATTTCTGTTTCGTTGAAAAATTTGCCACATAACCGTTGAATTTCCTTGCAAATTGCAAATCAGTAAATTCCTCTTTCAGTCATTCCAATTCAACACTCTCTAGGCCAATTCAACTCATGAACTGAAGAAAGCCAGTACATAAATTCCCACTTTTGCCCAACCCTGAAGCTCTGTAATTATTAAGGATCTGTATCAATGAAATAGAAGCTCCAATCCCAAGTTAAAGTGTCCCTGGAACTGGATCTAACTCTACTACGCCCTTGAGTAATGTTGCCCTGAGGGCACTGCGCTTGCAATTAATGAAGTGCAAGTTGCTTTGGATAAGAAGTAGCTGCCACACTGAAAGTAACAAACGGAGCATTTTGAGTGAATGAACCCAGAGTGCAGGTTCAAGTCTAATGAGGAAGATCCAAAAGCTTAAAGGGAGAGAAAGAATTCAATATCACATCTCTGTTCATCAGTCGATGTTAAATATCCTCTGCCAGATGTCTGGTTTCATAATTGATTTCAATTAAAAAATTAATCACCCACTTTGTCTTATCCATTGAGAAATCCAAAGAGCCCAATTATAGGCTATAAAAAATTCTCAGAAGAACCAAGAACAAATGAAGTTGGTGAGGGAAATAAAGGATCTGACAAAGCTTGATTAAAGCTGCATGCTCTCCTATCAATTCTAGCACAGACTTCAAACCCTGACATCCATCTTCTCTTATGCACTCGAGAATGCGGCCGCTGTCTACGCCTGGCCAAAAGGCCACATCTGCCATGGACCGATGGGACAGATTATCACCGCCCGTGATGAGCTCCATCAATTGGCAGCCGATGTCCGTCTATTAGCTACAGGCCAGGCTGTTTTGGCTCTGAAGATATGCTCGGGTTTAATTGCTAAATTATGAGGTCCCGGATTCGGCAACTGGGGGGCGTGATCATGGAATATGAATGCAAAAGTGTGTGTTCAATACTCAGTCAGACACTTCAATTGAAAATAGGATTATTTTGCTAGCAATAAAAATTCTCTCCTGCTGTGTTAATAAAATAGCTTCTCTGTTTGTATTAAGGATCAAACTGACCTCAAATTATATAAAAATAATAATATTAAAATAATATGAGCATCCATAAAGTACAACAATAAAGGTTCTTGCTCTTTTTTTACTTTACTTTTCTTTTCTTTTTTACTCTGTTCTTCAAAGTGTTACATTTTGACAAATTGAAACCATTGAGGGGGGCAATTTTTGTATACACTTTCCAAATAACATCTGTGTAAAAACAGTGCATATTTATCACCTTAAATGTGTAAGAGTCACAACATTTTGAGAAGAAATAAATAGTTTAACCAGTGTTTCAAGCAGTTTAAATGTGGATCAAACAGTGTTTCAAGCAGTTTAAATGTGGATCAGACCCGCTTTGAGCGATTTTGAGATCTTGTGAGATCTTCTGCATCAAAACACATCTACTGTATGTGCTGAAACTTTGCATAAACATTTACGATGCTAAATAAGGAAAAGGCACAAAATGTCAAGAAATAAATAGTTGTTTACATGTGGTTTTACGAGTGATTTTCCACCCTTGCACAAAGCTTCTTCTTCTAAAACAAAACACCAAAATGAAAAATATATTCACCCAACAGAAACAAGAAAGGACAGAAAGGAAGGAAGAGTGGAAATTTATTCTACAAAATTATTTTGGGTATACAATTTTGAGCACAACATTTGCACTGTGTTGAAATTGTGGCCTTTGTTTTTCTGTGTATTCAATTCATTAATATACATGTATCTACACATTCTCATGAAATTTGAAGTTGCACTTGGCACCCAATACCTTACATACCTTGGCACTTTGTGCGTAAATAGTTTTGGTGGTACTGTAAATCCAATGCAACAAAAACATGAATAAAACAATGAAGATGGTTGCCGCTATAGTACTCATGGACATATATCAATGATACAAACATAACACATTTCAGACACAATAATACAGTGCAATCGAACCTGGCTGTGAAAACAAACAAAATACGTCCTTGACGAACAAAACAAAACAAAACAAAGCAAAGCAAAGCAAAGCAAAGCAAAGCAAAGCAAAGCAAAACAAAACAAAGCATCAGGCTTGTGTGCTATGGATGTCCGTATAAAGCTTTTAGAATCGGCTTTCAGCTTTGTTAAACAGATGTATGTTTGATGCAACCCATGAGGAAATGCATCACTCAATAAGGATTTAAAATAGGTTTTCTTTTGCTAGATATAAAACATTTCTACAGTGGCATGTGATGATGTATCCCTTGGTACACCAGAATAAGATATTGTACTTTAAGAGTCACATACATCTTCTTGAATTGGCACACACAGCTCTGTCGTTTGGATATCTACTGCTGATTTCATTACTCTATAAAGTCACTAGCATCTACTCTACCCATGCAGTCAATATACAACAGGACAGTTCTGTAATTTGATAATCAAAACAACACAAACAGGCGTTTTTCATTGTGTATACTTTGTGATTTCTGTGTGTTTGTTTATGCATTGTAGGGCAATTAATAGAGGCACTTTCCAGTTGTAAATCAATGCTGTTTCCCAACTGAACCTTATAGGCATCCCAAACAACCTTTCTTATGAACAAACAAAACACATTTACTCATTCATCATAACACCTGCATGTATACATACTCCTTCAGTATTTATCTGACCAACCCTTTAGACCTGAGAAAATATGTAATTAGCATTAGCAAAGGGCTTACTGTACAATTAAAAGAAAAGAAAATAAATTAATAAAGTCATGTTTTTTTTTTTATTTTTTACTGTTGACATGTAAACATATTTGCCCACAGGCTGGTTGTGGATAAAAGCATGACAGAAAGTCAATGAATGCCATAAATGGGACTCCTGTAGGCTGTTATTTTCCCAGTGTGAAGGTGTGTAAATGCAGAAATAATTTGACAACCTGACTAAAATGTCACATGCAGTCGCTCCCCTGTACAAATCCCTCCTCAACAGTTCACTGCCACAGGTGAAGTCAAAACACATAAATTCAAATGAGAAATGAATGAAGTAATTATTGGATCATGGATCACCAAACATTCCTCCTTACAACAGCGTTTTGTACAAATGACACTGGCGCTGTTTACCAGTCGCACATCTTATTATGTCAGCATATTTACAAAAATCAATATACTCCTGAGGATTACGCAAGTAAATTCATATAAATTTACAAGGCACACTGAGTTCTCTGGTTGGTCTATTTATTATTCATGGGTATTCATGCGTAAAGTGTAGTCCTAGCACACGTTTATGGTTAGATAAACACTGATATGTGCAGTATCAATGTAAAACGAGCTTCTAGAAAATAAAACCTTTTGTATTCGCAACTTTAGAGATGTACAATTATTCACGAATCATTTGAGAGTCATAGAATAGATGAACTATTTTATAATCAGTTAGTTAATCATAAAAATATATATATAATGTTACAAATGTAATATCTAAAATATTTATACAATGCACTCACACACACACACACACACACACACACACACACTCTATTGTTTTTATATACAGATAGTTATACACTTTTTAACCGAAACCTTTTTCTGTCAATATGGGGTGCTGTGTGTACATTAATGAGGAAAAAAAATTAACTTAAATGATTTTAGCAAATGGCTGCAATATAACGAAGAGTGAAAAATGTAAGGGGGTCTGAATACTTTCCGTACCCACTGTATATTCTACATATAAAATACAGTATTGTTCCAAAGTTTATATTTTTATTCAGCATGCAAAGATGCATTAAACTGGTCAAACGGGATGGTAAGAACATTTATAAAGTTACAAAAGATTTGTATTTTACATAAATGCTGTTTTTTTAAACTTTATATTAAAATAATTGTTTTCAAGATTGATAACTATAAGAAAAATTTATTGAGCACCAAATCAGCATATTAGAATGATTTCTGAAGGATTATGTGACACTGAAGGCTGGACTAATGGTGCCATCACAGGAATAAATTATATTTTAAAATATATTAAAATAGAAAATGGTTATTTTAAATTGTAATAATATTTCACAATATGACTTTTTTTACTGTATTTTTGATCAAATCACTGCAGCCTTGATGTGCTAATATATTTACATAATTTGACAGTTTCATTATGTTCTGTGTTTTTTCTAAAGACTTGATACAATGTGACAATACAGTTTAGTACATGATTTAAACACATAATGTTTTTCATATCTAATGCCTGTTAAGCTTTGATTTAAATGAAAGAGTAGTAACTTTTATTAGTCTAATCTGAGTTAAATTTTTTTAAAATTCCATTAAAAAGACAACAAAATACTCTGACAAAATATCACTATCATTTACTGTAACTGATAAATGCAAGCATGGGATTGACCATTTAGCTTGAGATGGTGGCAAATCCAGTTCCAACCATTCTTCAGAAGATTTGTAAACATCCGTAGCTCTCAAATGTTGTGCATAAAAGAGATTTAGCTGTTTCAGATGCTGTCAGTAATTGTATGTGTACACTTTACATACAAATACCTTTGAGATCAGCATGTCTGGTCTTGATCTGTGAGTCTGTTTTCTTACAAAATCACTCTCTCAATTTTTATCTCATTCCCTTTGGATCAATGACATAATTCCTCAAACATCGTATATAACAGCATTTACAAAGAAACACAACTTCTCCATCCAAAAGTTAATGTCATGTGCTAAATCCAAACTCTTGCCAGGAGAAGATCAGAGGGCTGTAATACTTTACACTGGAGTTAACCTCTATTTCAGTATAGAGAGATGATGTTGCACTCTGTTGACTCGGAGCACTGAAACACATTACTCCATCAGAGAGCGGACATCACAACTGAATGTCACCAGCCTACTGGGGCAGAGCGCTAAAAAAGTGTACATATACCTCAACTGAGCGTCCTGCAGTTTATTCAAGAAAATGAGACTGACACGCACTGAACTCCAGTGACAGGAACTGAATTGTAGTGCGGCATGTAACAACTAGCGCAGTATTACTGCTAGTAAATATTAGGGTGAAAGCAAACAGCTGGGTTCAGTGACTCATCTAAGAGAAGAGTGTGTATTTTGTGAGTGTGTATGGCATGTGTATAAGCCGTATTATCTCAGGCCCTGAAAGAATTGAAAATCAAACTGGTCTTTGTGCACTACGCCGTATCCTCCGGATTAACTCTCCACTGTGGGACTGAGATCATGTCTTTTATCAAAAGCTGGTCACTAGCTGAGGCTCCGCAACTGAACTGCAACAATATGTTTATTCTCCAACACCTTTATAAACACTATACTAAGAGACACAGACTATTTAACTACAAAAAGATGTTTCCACATAGATGAGTAAACTGAATAGATGCTATTAACATTTACTGGTCATGCGATTCACACTGCAGATAAAATCTCAGTTATGATAATTTGACCGGATAGCCTTATTAAAATATATTATTTGATTTGATTAGATTGCAAAGAAACTGGCTATCATCTTGCCTCACATGGTAAGTCTATGGCTCTGATCCAAAATCTGGAGAGCAGCCCATGTAGACAGTATTTTAAGGCATCATAGGTGTGCTGTAGACATAAAGGCTATTGAAATCAGTGAATCAAAGTTCCTGTAACACTTAAATAGAGTGCAAAAGTTTCAGAACTAAAAGTCCCATTCACATATATATATATATATATATAAACATCGGGAACCAAGGCCACTTAAAAACTGGGCTGGCACTATTGCACTTTATATAGTATTCTAACTTATGAGATTCCAATTTCAGTTAGGATGCTGCGGCACAGAGCATAAGATTTCTTTACAACCATCACGTTCGTAATTTTTATGTGAACATTTTAGATTGTTTGCCACTCTTGCCATCAGCAGTGTGACTTGCTCTCTCAATGAAGAAAACAAGTAAATCTCTCTAGCGTTTGGAATTGAGTCATTATTTTTTTTATACTAGCACGACATGATAGCATAAGTAAACATCCATCTGCCAACAGGGGACAATAAGAGGATCAGGGCATGCTCAGTAATCTTCAACTCAGATTTTAATCAATTCAAATGAGATTTCCATATTCACAAAACATCTCCTGGTCTGTTTATTCAGGGTTTGAACTCACATTTCCCCCTCGACTACCTCTAAATCTACTTCCTCATGTGAGTGACTATGAATGCACAACATGGTTTATTAAGATTTAAATGTCACTCCCCGAATGCAATTTACACACTATCCAGAACTAAAGCTGCTTTCTCTGGAGTTCTAATCACAGTTAGTACGTGTTCATACATTGCTCATATATTAATTAATTCATTAAATTTATATAGCGCTTTTCTAGGCACTCAAAGCGCTTTACATTGTCAGGGGGTATCTCCTCATCCACCACCAGTGTGCAGCATCCACCTGGATGATGCGACGGCAGCCATAGTGCGCCAGAACGCCCACCACACACCAGCTTATTGGTGAGAGGAGACAGAGTGATGAAGCCAATCAGTAGATATGGGGATTGTTAGGAGGCCATGATGATCAGAGGCCAATGGGCAAATTTGGCCAGGATGCCGAGGTCACACCTCTACTCTTTTCGAAAGACATCCTGGGATTTTTAATGACCACAGAGAGTCAGGACCTCTGTTTAACGTCTCATCAGAAGGACGGTGCCGTTTCTAGCCAATTTGACGCCCTAGGCGAAATCCCTATTGCGCCCCCCCCCAAATTTTTTTACAATTTATATATATATATATATATATATATATATATAATTCTTTTAAGACACCAGTTGCTTGTCACATTCAAATTGGTTGTCATAGTAACGACACTAATTTGTGGAGATTCAGTGCATTGAGTTCCACATATCTGAATGCATTATTTGTAAATTAACTGTTAAGATAAACATTTTGCACAATTTAATATCTGTAATATCATTGTGTTGCCACTAGATGCCTGTATAGCCCTATGCAACAATTCCTAGTGGCTAAGACATTGCACATAATTTACACATAAATCACACATAAATTACTTTTATTACATTTTGATTTGGATACTATATACTATACTACTACATATTGTTTAGATATTATCAATGGCTAATTTTTTGTCTTTATCTGTTTTTTGTTCAATTGTTTTGTTGTTGTTTCTTGAAACATTGATTTAAAGTGTCAGTTATTGCATTATTATTTCAGTCAAACCTATAAAACCCCTTTGTTACTGGTGTTCCACAAGGGTCCATACTGGGGACCCATACTGGCTGTGCACCCAGGACGCGATCTTCCCAGATGTCCTTCACTCCGGCGCCGGGTCACCACGGACCCTGGGTGCAGCCGCAGCGGAAGACAGGTCCCGGGTGACGACCTCTCCCCCTCCGCCGCCTCCGGTCTTCGAGATCTCCACCCGGAACCGCTTCGCTCCCCTCCGCGAGACAGAAC